CATGTCCCAAGATAGCATTTTGAGTCAGTCATACCTTGTTGATTTTATGGAGTTTGCCTGTGCATCTCATCTTGGATTTGAAACAAGTCATGCAACCCATCACGTTATGCAACATTGCTTCTATCCACATGAGCCAATTCAATTAATCTCATTCTTCTGGTCACTCCTCAAATGGTTAATATTTCTCTTTTTTTCAAGAAACAATCACATTACCTTTTGAAATATATATGAATACATTTTTGAACTGGCAGAGAATTACACATTTTAATAATGTTCATATTGAAGGTATTTGATGAAACATTGCTTTGAAATTTTATTGTAATTAAGTGAAATGTGCACCTTCTTTTTACTATTGCTGACTAGTAAGTACAATCTATCACCCATTTATTCTATCATAACAATTAATTTTGAACACTCAACAAGTCAACTTTAAATGTTCTCAACACTTGTGAAAATAAGTACTAATTCTCATATCTTCCTTCCCACCAATAACACTTAATCCTTGGTAATATTCAAGCAAATCTATTTCCCAGTTGATTTTTTAACTCCTTCCATAATGCAGTGCCAAGAATGCTATGCAACTCTCCAAATATGACTGAAGAAAAGTCTATACCAGTTCAAAATATCTCTTCTCAGTTGCCCCTTCCCAATCACATTCCCTTTTCTTTTAACAACTGACCTGAGAATAGTGTATTTGCTTCACCACCTGGTGCCTGCAACTCACCCGTCTTATTTCATCAAGATTGGTGGGCCAATATTGGTTAGGCTACTTGAGCTAATTTCATGGTTGGCAAAGCAAGACCTAAAATTCAGAACTATGTGGTGATTAATTTGATTCTCATCAAATATTTAGTAATTTTATCTTGCATTAATGACTTAGTAGTTTATCAACAAATGAAGTGAGATTAACTGGTATAGACTGTTTCAAGAAGTCAGACATAGTAATGATTCTAATTTTTTTCAAAGTTCTTTAAATAAGAAACTTGCATCAGTAGACTGGAGATTGCCTAACAGATATATATATATTCAAGGGAGAGAAACATGTTATAGTTTCATTGTTATGATGGAGTATGAATCAATGAACAAATATCAGTGTTTTGCAACATATGTACAATATATGCCAGAATGGTCAGAGTTAAGTTTGTGTCTGTACGTAATCAAAAGATAAGCATTCCCAATCATGACGAGAGATCAGAAGAGAAATTGGGAAAGAAACCAGGCCAGTAATGCACATTAATTGGGATCAATGCTGACTTTGTGTGATTTTGTAAAGTGGATGGTACTGAGTCTCAACCCTTTTTACATTTTATTTGAAGCCAAGGGAAATTAAAAAAAAACGAAGAGATGGAAAACTCACTGCTAATTTGCTAACATCTATTTCACACAAAGTCAAAATCACTTCAATCACTTCAATGGTGTGTGGTAGACAAGTGCACAATGTGGGAGAACAAAAAAAGCCAGCATATCTCAGAACTGCACTACATGGTACCACATTGTTACCAAGGCTGTGTAGCAATGTTTTGACTGTGGTTGATAACTGTTTCTATCATGATCAATCTATTGGCCATTGACTGGATCATTTCTGCATTTGGAAAGTACAAGCATCTCTTCCTTAACTAGCTGTTAGTTTTTGTATTTAGAACGTTTATTTTCCAGTTTATGTATCCTGTTTCAGTATGTTCCATGCCTGCTAAGTTTATCTCATTGCTTTTTTTCTGCGAAGTCCTCAACTCAAAAATATCAAAAACACCAAAAAAAAAGCAAGACCTGTGAAAAATTTGTGCACAATGAACTGTCAATGTTAAGGGAATCTGGGAAGGGAGAGGAGGTACATCCCTAAGTGCAGGAGAAAATCAGATGAAAAATTAGGTTCATCTTGCTCATCTGCTCCCTCTGCTGCATTGTTGGGACCATGAAGATTTTCACAGCTTACAGACAAGTCTTATTTGAGTGTCTGATACTAGCCCTCATAACAAAAAAAAAATTGGAGGTTTCGTTCATCCCATATATATTTATTGGATTAGCAAATGAATAATTAATAATTATTTAATTATATATTTAAGTTTTTCAAATAATCTGTTGTTTGTTCTTATTTTCTTTATTAGAATGCAATAAATCTTAAGCCTCACAATTATAGGGAAGCTGGTGCAGATTACAATTCCATACTTTCATAACACCTGAAGGACTAATTTACGTTATGTAATCAATCATGCTCAGTAATTTTGTTTCAATGTTTTAAAATGTCTTTTTGCTTTCTCCTTTTTAGGTTAAGTGACACATCTGATGTTCACTGTTTTTTTTGACCTAAGATAACAGACCTCACTCCTCCCGATTGATTATGGGTCAAAGGCAGAACTGAGTCACAAAGATGGAACTGAGTCACAAAGATCACCAAGGTTTAATCCCTAAAAAATGGAGTTATGACATGATACACTAACTGCTCTTTCAATGCTAATTCTAATATTTTTGATGTTTAAAGTTTAATCATCGTTTGTTGTGAATGTGGGGACCTTAGTTGAAGTGGCCATAGAGCTTTTTCCTTATTCTCACTGGGCTTGGTAAAGTGAACATCAGGCAGGTTCCTCTTCATTCTTAACAATGTTTGTGTGGACATTATAGGGATCAGTATTGAGGTCAATAGTGCCACTGCTCATTGTTGAAGTTCTCAGTTGACGAAAGAGCTGGGCAACTCTGAGGGGACGGGAACCGGCAAATGGAAAATGAGATGCATTCAAGCGTGAGTTCCATTTGTGGAATGAATGAGCTCCAGTGAAACTGTACTCTGGCAGAAGCCAGTGCCTGTACACATGCGCCCATAGCAGGATCCATTACCTGTGAAACTTTACTCTAGAATGTCTATGAAAGGGTGCCCAGGTGCAAATTAACACCTGTGGAACTATACTCAAATATGGATCCCCATCCATATAAATAGATTCTAACCCAAATCAGCATATATGGAACTATACAATCAAATAACTGCAAAATACTGCAGATGCTGGAGATCTGAAATAAAAACAGAAAATGCTGTAGAAATTCAGCACGTTTGACGGCGTCTGTACAGAAAACAACAGGCTAAAATTTTGAGTTCATTTTTCTCTTCATAATTGCCGCCAGAATGCTGGGTTTCTGCTGCACTTTCTGGTTTTATTACGTGGAACAGTAACCTGGTGGGACTGAGTAGTTGATTAACCATATTCCCACAGTATTCAATCATATGGGACATGTTCTTCAGTGATATTCAATGCACTTGGAACTGTTCTTCCAGTCAAAACTAATGGTTGTGGAATTGCGTCCCAGTGAGAGCCAACATCTACGAAAGTACATCCCAGTATGAATTAGAGTCATCAGAAAAGGGTACAAGTGAAAAGAAAATTGAAAGGGGCAAGAGTAGGTAAACATAGATGAAGGAAGTAGCATTTTTACAAAATGGTTAGATCTGACAGAAACAGCCTCATTGATGCTCTGTTCACATTTGTGTCAATTTTTTGACATTGATTAACTGAAAAGAGTGAATGCTTCTCATGTTGAACCAATTTACATCTTATTTTCCAAATCAAAATGATACTGGCATGAGATCAAGGCTAGAATTCAAGATTTGCTTTACTAATGATGAAAATTTATCAAACTGAATAATGTCATTAATTATTGTTTCAGCAACTTGATGCAGACGAAGTAAGATAAGTTAACCTTTTTTCTTGTAAAGTCATATTTCTAGAGCTGAATTTTGAGATCACCAGGAGGAACCAGGGGAGTAGTATCCTGGAATCAAATGGTAGAGCTTATTGAACATTTCTGCTGACTCCCTGACATACCTATTTTGGCAAGGTCCCCTGAAAAAGGTGCTCAGTGCTATCTGGAGCAGGCAAGCAGCTCTACTTAGATGCTTATGTTGGGATTTTATTGATGCCCCCCAACCCAGAGTTGACTGACTCCACCCCATTTCAGCTGGTGTCTGAGCATAAGAGAAACCAACAGGGTATTATTGTTTTATTTTTGTTCTGCTGGGAAGAGCCAGATTTCTTCCCCTCCCAATTCAGGGAGAAAAAACCCAGTCTGGGCCACTACCATTCTGGTTTCTCACACCCATGCAATCAAAGGACCGCTCCCCACCCTAAAACTACCTTCTTCCAGCTGGACTGCTTGGTATTGTGGCAATCTGGAGTTAGAGGTTTACCCCAGGAAACTTCATTTCTGCCTGTAGCTCTTCACCTTTATACTCGTGAGACCTGGCACACAGAATTGACTGGGCCTCCTGTCAGGCAGTCATGAAAAATCTCCTGTCCAGTATCTGACCTGCATTGGATCATTTCTAAACAGTATTGCTCAAAATGCAGACAATTTATCTGGAATCAAAATGAATAGCAATTTTGAACCCCAAAAGGTAAAAGTTATACATCGATGTTACTATTGCAGGTGTAAGAATGTATAGTTGTGTATTAATACAGTCAGTCATCTTGAAGACCACTCAAAATGTCTGTATTGCAAATTATCCATTTCAAGACCATCTGTGGCAAAGCAAAAATTGAAAAATGGTGGGAATAAAATAAAAGTGTTATTACATGTTATCATACAGTAACAGAGAAACAGAAATTTTGAGACAGATTGCCCTTCTTTCCTGTATTGAATTTAGGTTCTTCCTGGAGATTATTTTACAAAATCTCATTTTCCTGCTTTGTCTCTGTAATTCTTTAAGTGAATACTTTAATTAAATTAGCATTGGTCACCACCCATCATTCTGATAACTTTGCTTGAAAACTCTCTTCTAAGCTTGTTCTTTTATGTATGCAGTGTTTGTCTTGAGATCATGATCTCTTGCCTGTGATTTGCTTTTTATAACAATTTGGTTAACTATTTTCTGGAATATATAGTTGTAATCATGGACCCCTGAGAAGTAGATGTTAAGATATCTCTACAGTTTCCCAAACCCTTTGCCCATGTGATAACATATAATAATTATGTCAAAAGTATATTGGCATTTAAATAAAAGAAAGATGAGTGAATACATCAAACTGAGGTAGATGTTTTTAATTACAGTGATACAATGATTTGACACAAGTGCATTGGCAACTTGAGAACAAGATGCAACAAATTATCCTTACCAATAAATCAGATTATGATAAAAATGCAATTGCTGGATCATTTACCATCATCATCCTAAACAGATCTCCAAAAGAAATTAAAATTTGAGTACAGGCAAAATAAAACGCTTTAATTTTTAAAATCAATATATCACTAGAAACTTAATTATTTGATATAAAACATATAGAATATATACAAAAATAGATATTTGAACAATTCACCTCCAACATTAAGCCCGTAGTTTCAGGACAGTGTTTACTGTCTACAAATGATAGACAGACCCCCTTATGTTACTCTTTAATTGTTAGAAGAATAGCTGTTTCCCCTAAAATAAAGTATTTCCACTGGGTTAACTAATAGATAATAAGCACATTGTGTGATCAGTACAGTAAGGGCCTCCATATAAGTTTGAAATTATTTCCTTATAATGTATAAGTCTTCTACATTTTGTGGTAAGTGAAAGGTAGGAAATAATCCTTAAAAGGTAAAACGGAAAATAAAATGTCATGAAAATCTGTTTGTATACATTTAGAGAAGTGAATGAATACAAGCAACTGAATGAGTTCTGTTGTGAGACAGTATCAGATACAGTGTGCGTGGAATCCTCTCTTTCCAGTATGTTTAGGTACCTGTGTTTTTCTTCCAATTCTATTGTTGGCCTTCTGGCTTTTCCCAACAAGTTGGCACACAATGATTCCGAATTATTTATTTCTTTTGGATCAAGCAGTAGGCATCAATTTGGTCAGCTGGTGCGTAGAAGGGGTCATTATGCAGCCAGAACCTCTGTTCCAGTTTCCTGTAAACCAGAGCAGAACACATGAACTGAATGACTGAATAGTAACACCACATTGTAACAACACGAGTCAGAATAATGTGAACCCATGATGGAAGAGCAGAGGCTGAAAGAGCTGGAGGACTAGGATGGTAAAGAAACACCATCACTGTCACATTCGCTGTCACCCAGACACTGACATTGCCTGCAATTTACAGAATAGTTTAGAGGCAGAATCTGAACTCTGTGATGAGACAGTTGACAGGAGTGGCCTGCACCTGGGCAGTACTTTCATTTGGGCTACAGCAGAGGACTGCTGGATATGCACAGTGAATTACATTGGCAGACCCACAAAAATCTATGTCATGTTACATACAGGAGGAGTCAAACACCTACTTAGCACAGGTCTGGCACACATCATAGAGCCCATGCTTTCCCGGTATGTAAGTGGCGCCCAATAGTTAACAGCATGCTAACAAAAGCAAAATATTATGGTTGCTGGAGATCTGAAATAAGACAAAGTGCTGGAAAAATTCAGCAGGTCTGGCAGCATCTGTGGAGAGAGACACAGTTAAGATTTGAGTCCAAAATGGCTTTCCTTCAGAACTCAGATAGTGCCCAATATCATTAGCATGCTTTTGGACCCAGCCATGATGGAAGGTCTATAACTAATGTTTACACTATTCCAGGATAAACAGAAGGCACCTGACATCTGGATGCTGCAATGAAATTTCAGAATTCTGTAATGCGACCTTAGCATGCTGCAAAGCCAGCTCAGACTGTGCCATTACAGCTCCTGATAGCAGTGGTAAAAGAGACTTGCAGTGTGTCAATCTATTTTCCAAAAGACTGCTGGAATTGCTGCAGCACCCTGTTGGAGTAGTAATGGCTTTGGAGCATGAACTTGCTGTCTTCTCTCAGAACAGCAGCATGTGTCCACTTACCATTGCCACTCTCAAGTGTCCTTACTGCTAAGTGTTGGCCAGCCATTCCAGCCTGACATTAGCCATGTCAATGAGGTAGAGTCCAAAGCAGCCTCTTAGGCCCAAAGCTACCCATGGCCATCCTACTACACCAACTGTAATGTTCTCCTCTGAAAGTCAGAAACCTTCCAGAGCTTTAACTTTCCAGCAGCATACAATAGGACATGAATTATTTTGGAAAGTTTAGTTTATGTTGGCTTTTATCTTAGCATTGTGTCTAAACAGACTGATTGTCAGTAGCAGTGAATAGGAATTTGTTGATGTATTTACTGGAAAAACAAATGCAATGAAATTTTCTCATAAGACAAAAAAAGACAGAACAATAAAGGAAGAATAATCTGACAGTTTTAGTTTCAAATTTCCCAGAATGGAAAGCTAAAGGAATGAGCTTTCACATTTGTAATTGTTTATTTTCAATACCAGTGAATGTGCTTGTAAGTAATTGATGCTCGTTGCATATTTAAAGAAGATATTTCAACTGCAGGGCAAACCCTAACTTTCTGTGGTATGTTTAGTTCATATCTACACTGAAGGAATGAACTTTTCACTTCATTCGATGTGTCTGAATGGTCAGACAGAGAGCAAGCTGTTTAACAGTGGAGTGATACATTTTGAAGAGTGATTGCTGGATCTTTGCAGTTAACCAGGTATCTACTCTTGCCTGAAGCTGCTGTGTATTTTCTTTTGTACAAACAACAGAAAACGTGATTAGGGTCTCTATTATTTTTATAAAACTGTTATCAATGTATGCAGTTTAATTTACTATATATCCTGGCATACCTCACAATACAGCATGCAGCATTTGAAATGGAATCAAACACAGGGTACATTATGAATTTCTTCCATCTTTCAGATATAATAGAGAAGTTAACATTAATTGTACTGACAGCAGGAACAGTAACACTTGTTCTCACACCCAGTTGTACGTGATGAATTCTGCAGTAGGCAGTGGTCTCTTGTCTCTTCACATCTCCACAGTGATTCCCTGATAGTGAATATTAACTGCTGATTGCCAGGTAGAATGTCAAAAGTTCAGTACCGAAAACAGGGCTGCAGCCCATTTAAAGGGTCTTTTTTATTACTGTTGCCAGATTAAGGTTCTACAACTTGATAGATCCAGACAAAGGAATGTTGCAGCAGGAAAAATAGAAGTGCTCTTTTAGCCAATTCAGTGCACTGTTCCAACATGAAGGCAATGATGAATGCTTGCTGGGAGATGGTTATACACTCGAAGTCCAGCCCCAGACCTGGAGAAATCATCAAAAGATTGCCAGCCAGCACCTTAAATCAAGGTGAGGTGCATCACCAATATCTTAAGTCACATAATAAGCACTTCGATTAAGGGCAGGTGCTGCACTAACAATCTTAAACCAAGGTAGAAGTTTCGACCAGTACCTTATACTAAAATAAGAAACCCAAAGTAAAGCTGTCCACCATCATTACACAAATTAAATAGGTAAATATGTCCAACACAGTTACAGTTACACCTTTACTTCTGACCCATAAAAAGAACGTACATTGTGTTAAAGACATTTGAATATATACTATGGATAGTCTTACTACAGAAGAACATGCACTCTGAGTGCAATTTACTTATTAAATTGTTAGCACGCAAACATCTAAAAAAAAATACAAAAATGTGTTTGAAAGTATGATGTCAAGGAGAACGCTCTAATTTATGGAAGCAACTGAGGAAATGCTGCTTCAATAAGTGTGGGCAATAGGAATGCCCTGTTTAACCACTCTAGAGAACCCTTCCATCGGAAAGCAATGAATGAATAGTGCTCAGTGCAATGTTAGCTGCATTATGCACATCTACAGAGTGTAAATACATGCTGGCACTGAGGATCAAGCAAGGAAGTATCTGGCCTTTTACTAAAGATCATGGTAGATTTGTTTATTGGAGATCATTTGCCTTGTCTCTCCACCAGCCACTAGAAAGTCTTAAGGCTGGAAAGAGCATAGAAGCAGTGGTTCTTTCAGTTCTATAGCTGCGTTCCTGTTTCAGATTCATTTGTCACTTCAACCTCCCTATTAGGGGGCAGTGCAGTACTCCTCCAAGCTCATGGTTTCAGATACCAAATTTAGGGACACAGTCAGCCGGACATGTGGAACATAATTCCAGTGGAATGAGCCATTTCTGCAGCTTGTAAAATGAAAGTGCATTGGTAGAATTCACAAGGTCGCTAAAAGCTAAATTTATACAAATAGGAGTAAACATTGTGCTGCTAGAAATAACTCATTGAGGAAATTTAATAATTCTTTTACAGAACTTGATTAATTAGGCTTTCCATCAGTCCAGTTCTTTTATGCCTTGGTTACATCTTACAGGCTTGCAATACTGCAGTGTTGTCCGTTCTAACAACAAGTCTTCATCCACCAGAGATAGTAAGAATTGCCAATGCTTGAGTCAGAGATAATACAGTGTGGAGCTGGAGGAACACAGCAGATCAAGCAGCATCATGGGAGCAGGAAAGTTGACGTTTCCGGTCGGGACCCTTTCTGAAGAAGGGTCCCAACCCAAAATGTTAACTTTCCTTTTCTGAAGAAGGGTCATGACCCAAAACATCAACTTTCCTGCTCCTCTGATGCTGCCTGGCCTGCTGTGTTTCTCCAGCTCCACACTGTGGTGGCTCTTCATCCACCAGGGATGTTCGGTATGCTTCTGTCCCTACCACGAGGAGCAGTTTTTGTACGTTGAAATGTATTTCCTTGCCCTCCAGCTGACAAGCCACTTTCCAGGTGCCACAGACCACAGTTCCCAACAGTATTTCCTAATTGGAGAGACCAGTCTTTCATTTCTCACAAAACTCTTTCTGTCCTGAGACTCACCTGAACCCTCTCAACTCCAACTGATTATCTTCTCCTCTTTTGATCTTTTTCCTTTCAAATTCAACCACATTGTTTTGTCCCATTTCTCACCATCATCAAGAATGGCTTTATCTGTGTCAATACCGTTCAAAGCCATTATTATGCTCTGAGAAAGAAATCTGCTTTTGAACCTGCTATCCCTTCAACATCATTAGACACCTGGGTATGGGGTACAAATAATATTTTTCAGATGGCACAAACATAAGAGGCATTATTAACTATGAAGAAAATGTACATATCTTTAGTAGGGCATAGACAAATGACTAGTTTGGACAGATAAACATCAGAAGAAATGTAATGCAAAGAAATTCAAAGCGAAACGTTGAGAGAGGAAAGCCAAAAGGAGGAAATGAACATGAAATAGTGAAACTTTTGAAAACACTGGAGGAACAAAGGAAAGTGCAGATTTGGATACACACATCTTTAGAAGAACAAAATGATAAACTAAGGAAAATATATTCCCATGCATTTTAAAAAGGATAATGAGGATAGAAGGTTAATAGGCAGTCCAAACTAATACCAACCATCAATCAGGTAGAAGTTCTAATTGTGTCTGAAATTGGAGTCTTATGTTAGCAAACGTCACGAATTGGATTCAGAGAATTTTCACTAATTGATACTAAAGAGTATACCATTTAGTTATGAGGATTAACTGGAGAAGCTGAGGTCTTTTATAGCAAAGCAGGTTAAGAAGAGATAATACAGGTACTGATAATTATAAGAGACTCTGATAAAGCAAATCTGAAAGAATTATTTCCACTGGTTTGTTAGTTAGTAACTAGAAGCATGAGTTTAGCAGCACCAGCAAAAGTCCAAAGGGAAAGATCAGGGTTTCCTTACTTACAGATTATCATTGATGTGAACTGCCCTATCACAAATACTGACGAAAGCAGAATCGATAATTGATAATTGTTTTTAAAAAGCAAGTGGATGAATATCTGAAAAAGAAAAAAGTTAAAAGGCTATGTGGAAAGGGCAGTGAAATAGCATGAACTAGGGAGTTCTTTCAGGAGAAGAAGGACAATAAGCCAAATGGCCAATTAATAGATGAACATTTTAATGGATATAAGGTCAGGTAGGCTCCTCAGGAAGTTTATTCCACACATAGACCACACTCTGTACAAAAAATTTGCCCCTATTTCTTTTTTGAATCTCTCTCCTCTCACCTCA